TCTGAATTCACCAGAAGGAATAAAAAGGATTCAACATATGAAACAACAAGGTGAAGATTTGAATGCTTTCGAACAACTCGAGCTGGGAACAGTAAGAACTTTGATGTATGGAGCAATTGCCGGTGCATGTTCTGAAGCTGCTACTTACCCATTTGAAGTTGTGAGAAGACAGCTTCAGATGCAAGTTCGAGCAACGAAGATGAATGCGTTACAAACTTGCATTAAGATAGTCGAACATGGTGGCTTTCCTGCACTCTATGCTGGATTGATCCCGAGCTTATTACAGGTAAGAGGCACACCTTTCTGCTACCTTCCCTATATGCATTGAAATTTTTAGCTGTCTTCGAACTTCTTAATCTGATGAACAAAAGGCATAATATCTTAAGTTAATATGAGAATTTCCTTAATTTTGTTTTCAAGTATCAAACTTCTTTAATTTGGGTTTTTGGACTTGATTATCTTGTTGGGTATACATCATAATACATATTGGTGATATCATTGTTAGGAGCCAAGACCAATGAGTAAGGTGAAGCACAAAAAAGACACACAATAGTTTATGTTCCTTAGAGTGCTATTCCAATACGTTTGGTAATCTTATGAGTGGTGGATCCTACGGAATGTTCGGATGATAAGTATGTAGTATATGTGGATCATACAAAATGTATAGATAAAAAGAATGTTTGACTGGCTTAATTGTGATTTAAGCTTTGGCGGAACCTGCACTGACGTTCCTTTGCTATTATTGCTCATTGATGTAGAATATTTTTTAATCCATAGACGGTAATACATTAGGTGAAATACTTATCATCACAATCCCCTTTTGAACATGTTAAATTCACGTTCTTCTTTATGTTTCAATTTTTCAGGTTTTACCATCGGCTGCCATTAGTTATTTTGTCTATGAGTTCATGAAGATAGTCCTTAAAGTGCAATAAAAATATGCGCTATCACTAGTAATATGCTAATGAAGGCTGCTGACCATGGTCGAATATACGTTTTTATGGCCTCAGGTTTTGTTGCTCTCAACAAGAAGATTGTACTGAGATATTCCACACACAACCCACAAAAAAAATTCTCTCATTAGAATAGGCTACTTTTGAGGGTAGAATAATGCTTAATTCAACTTTGGACTGCTGAGGTTTCGAGAATAACATTTCCTTTGGTAATGAAAATTGCTCTGAGTCTCAATCTCTAATTTCGATGCAAGAATAGCATTTTTTTCATGTAACTTGATGTTCTCTAATGGCAATTCCTGCATTACACGTTTCATATTTTTCTGCTCATCTAAGATGTTGATCGAGTTGTAGCCGTCATAATTTTGAAGCTCTGGAATAACATTAAAAGTTGTGCAAGGTTTTGGACAAGGAAATAACCACTCTATCCACACGTATGTGTTTATGCATGTGCGATCACGATTATGAACTTGGTCAAATGGTTATTGTTGACTTCAAAAATCATCAGCAACTACTAAGATCTCCAACCCATTTCATGGATTGCAATTTAGGTGGCATCTAGATAGAAATGCTTTCGATTTATCGAGCATTAATGTCTAATGAATAGATGGTCTCTTCAATTTTCATCTCTAGCGGGTTCTGTCTATAAAGAAATGATCTACTATAAGCAAGAATCGATGAAACGACACATCAATAATTGATGAATAAGTTCATGGTATGTCAGAAAATTATATGATCGTGTTGTATTACCCTTGTATAGTTTATGCTAACAACCGATGCTTAATAGATTATTTATCTCTATTTATAATTAAAATTTTATCTCTAATTTATATTTAATAAGAGAGAGAGAAAAATATAACTTATGATGACTTACCACGTTGTAGGAATATTTCATTTATTTTCATATTATCCACACATTTATTCATAGGCTTGTGGTAGTGTTTGGGAATTTGTCTTCTATTTTTAGGAGTACACAACTTGAACCACAAGGTACAACCCTCTGATAGCCAGTTGCGACTGCGACTCCCAGAAGAATAACGTCAAATTGATCGCTATATAGTACCCATAGGCATAGAGTCCATTATACGCAAAAGGGATTGCATTGTTGGTCCCCAATCTATTGACAAGATAGCAAATTGGTCCCAACTTACAAGAGTGAAAGAAAAGCCATTCGCACTGTAGGGCTGTAAGCAAAAACCGTCAAACCGAAAAATAGAACCGAAACCGCAATTTCGAAACC